AAATTTACTTGTAGACATAGTTGATAAATGTTCTGTTTGGGTGTGATACAGTTCCAAAAATGGGTCCTTTGCCGAATAAGGGATAATAGTAAGAAAAGCAAGGAAGAAGGAAAACATAAGAATGAAGGCACTCATGATTTTCAGGAAAGTTCCACCACTACTTGTGTAGAACAAGGAAAATCGAATATGGAATTGGCAATTGCAGAGCAGGAGGACCATTTTGCAAACATGTCCCACCAAGAGCTGCAAGAAAAATCAGACATGGGAGAATTACTACATGAACTGAATTCCACTTGTGAAGAAGGAAAATATGACATGAAATTGGGAACTGCAGCTGAAGAATATTTATCTTGGATGGACGTGAAATCTTTCGGTGATCATGAAGAGCAAGAACAGCATTTTGAAATATTTTGCACCAAGAGCTACAAGAAAAATCAGACATATGAGATATACTACAAGAGCTGAAATCCACTTGTGAAGAACAAGAACAATCTGACATGGAATTGGGAACTTCAGATGCAAAGACTGAAGAATATTTATCTTGGATGGACCTGAAATCTGTATGTGATCATGAAGAGCAAGGAGAGCATTTTGCATACATGTCCTTTCAAGATCTGCAAGAAAAATCGGACATGGGAGAAGTACTACAGGAGCTGAAATCCACTTGTGAAGAACAAGAAAAATCTGACAGCTATAAAGATTTATCTTGGCTGGACCTGTTGAATTTGAGTGATGATGAATTCCCATTTGTGTGTTTTGATTAAACTGTAAATCAGGGAGTCCTTGATCTCCATTCGCATGTATATGACCTTGGCTGAGAAACATCTGACATGATGAGATTGTATTCTATTTTCTTGATATATAAATTGTATACTTTTTGGAGAAAGCATATTATTGAAACCAAAGGAGCAACTAGTCCCATTGATTTGATCCATGATAGTAGAAACTCTTCTATGAATGGAAAATGGGTGTTTGCAAGTGTTGTGAAGCAGAATCTTGACAGGCCATTTTTGTAGTGCTTTGAAAAGCATCAGAAAAGATAGAAAATTGGGCTTCAAATAATAAGCGAAATATTCAAACACACTTCAAGGTAATGGTTTTTTAAAAATGTACAATTTTTTTTTTTTTTTTTTTTTTTTTTCCTAGTTGGGACTCACACACACTGCCTCCACTGAAGTTCGAACCCCTAATCTCCCTTTGAGAAGTAGGAGCCTTGTACCGTTAGGCCACAGGCCTATTGATAAAATGCACATAATCTCACTTGAAAATTTTCAAAGTCTTGAATCCTAGCAGTTATGTTTCTCAAATTAGTTCATAAATCTTAGGTTCTTAGAAGTGAATCCTCTGAGTTGATTCTACCACAAGATCCATAACCAAAGATTTAACAAAATAGAACATGTGCACGTCTATCTCCTAACATTTCAACTGATGATAATGTATACAAATTTAACTTAAAAGGATTCGGGTATTTCAAAATTTTATTTCCTAGCCTTAAATATTCACATATTTTTAGTCTATGTTTTCTTTAAAAACTTTGAAAAAAGTGTCACGCCCCGAACCCCATAACTCGGGTCACGAAGAAAAGAAAGAAAAATAAATAAATAAATTCACTTGAGTAAATAAATAATTAATTAAAAAAAATCGGTGTCTTTCATCACATAAACAACAACAACAACAACAACAACAACAACAACAACAACAACAACAATAATAATAATAACAATAATAATAATTAATTAAATATATATTATATACATGGTCGTCAACATTAAAGGGGGTGGTTGTTGCTAGCATAGTGAACAACTTCATATTTTTCCCAAATAATTTGGACGACCACATGCCTAGAGTGGTATACAATACAATAAGCAAGGAAATTTAATTCACCAATTGGTTCGGGTAATATAGACAACAAAGTCAGTGAGCAACAACACTACAAGGCTTTAAGTGACTAGATGGTACCAGTATCATGATATGAGTGGTGAACAAATCATAAAAAAAAAAAAATGGAATCAATTAGTGGGATCCGCAACTTTACATGTACATAATAGGAAAAATTACCTATAAATGGAGTTAAAGTTTCATATTTACTTAGAGACTGAGTCAAAATTCTATATTTCTCTAAAATTGATTGCTGAGGTGGCACATGGTTTTTTACTGTTTAGAAAATTGTGGTGCCTAAAATGCCCTTCCCTAACAAAAAAGTAGTACCTTCAGTTCAAAAAAGTAGTACCTTCAGTTCAAAAAAGTAGTACCTTCGAAGAAAAAGTAGTACCTTCGCGGGTGTTTAAAAAACATGGTACCTGGACACCAAAAAGTAGTACCTTCAGTTCAAAAAAGTAATACCTTCGAAGAAAAAGTAGTACCTTCGCGGAAGGGTATTTTAGGCACCACAATTTCTAAACAGTAAAAAACCATGTGCCACCTCAGCAATCCATTTTAGAGAAATATGGAACTTTGACTCAGCCTCTAAGTAAATATGGAACTTTAACTCCATTTATATGTAATTTTCCCTACATAATAAGGTAAAGAAAAGAAAAAGGCTTTACAAAAGTGAATCCTGGCATGCACTTATACTGATCGATCAAAAGCCCCAAACAGTGATATTATTAAAAGCTAATTATATAGGCATAATTGTAATGATAATAAGATGCTTGAATAATTAATTTACTATATACATTAAACTATTCAAGTGAGCCCATTTACATACATTATGTAAGAATTGGTCAATCCCACTACACAAATTTATAACTTTAATTCCAAAGCTATGGGATGATAAGGATGCATATAATCTAAATAGAAATTACGGCTCCCGTGGTCTCATTACAATCCATAAAGTGAGAAATAATGTTAAGGGATTATATGAGAAGAGATAAGAGAGAAAATTTCAAAAGAACTCCAAAAGATAGATGGGTGAGTTCTTAAGTTATTTTCCTCCTTCAAAAAAATATAACGAGCATATTATCAATTATAATATCCAAAATATACCATGTGTCAAAATACAAGTTCAAAAGTAAGCTACACAATGGATGTCAAAATTATCACAAGTAGCTCAAAAATATTGTGAAGATCCCAATCAAGCTAGGAATGAGGAACCTCCTCTTGGGCAATGTCCTTCCTGAAAAATATAAGAATCAACGGGGTGAGCAATGAATTTCTCCGTAAGGATGTCTCATGAATATAAACTAGGTTTCTCAAAATTCTACAAACATAGTATGGCCATACAATACAAGGAACATGCGTTCTAACGTCAAGTCTCAAGGGAAACCTAAATAGGATCATTCTAATCTAACATAAATAATATTAATTCATTTATCAAAACAAGCATAAATAATATAGTGTAATGTACATAAATCCACAAATTGCAATAACACATAAATGCCAATTTGAAAATAAAAGTCGAAATCAATTAATGGGATAACTCGGAACACACCCACACTCTCGGTCACATAGCCATGCTATGCGCCTAAATAAAAATAGTCATTCTCGGATTACTAGTCCGACGAAAACTAACCGATTGCTCAATATAAAGTGGGGAAACTCATGTTTCACCCGCGAGCGTCAAACCCTCGCATTCTCAAGTTAACAACCCCCAAGTATCTCACAAAATCAACAAACAAGTCCACAAAAATAATCCATATACCATGATATGCCCAAATTGTACTTCATAAGCGCATATAAATTATACTAATCACACAATCACCTAATGGCATAATCTTTGATGCTATGTCAACAAATTGGGTATTTTAAAGTCATGTGATTTCATGTTATCATTATATCAAATTTCAAATGTGTAAAAGTGTAATATTATCATAGAATTATACATCTTCAAAGTTAACCTTCATAGCATAACAAATATATGATAATTCCATGAACAACCACAACACATAAGGCACTTTAATTACAAATAATTGTATACACTAAGATTTAACACTTTAACAAACATCAATAATGTTAATAATGAAATAAATAGCATGTTACACATGAAAATTAACATAAGAATTCAATAAAACATTATAGACATACAATTAAGTCATTATATAAGCTCTCTAATCTAACCTACACACACAAGTGTATGCATAACTCACACAATGGTCATAAAATTCTAAAAACTCCTAGGTTATAAGCACAATACACCCCTACCTCAAGTTTGGAGCAAATTCTAGCCACTTCTATTGAAGAAATAATAAATGAAGAATTAATATTAAAAAAAAAAAAAAGTACCTTCCTAAAAAATAAATAAATAAATAAAATTCTAGCTACTCCAAAGGAAAAATGTGCTCCAAATCCGAAATTGATTGAATGGTTTTGTTCCTCTCGTAGTCCCCGTCAACTTTCCCTTCTATGGCAAGCTCAAAATCTCAAAGGTTGGAGGTGAAATGGTTGAAAAAAAAAAATGAATGAGAGAGAAAAAAGAGAGTGTCGATGGAGTAGGAGAATGAGAGGGTTTTGGCTTGTCTTCCACTTTTTTTCTCTATACAAACACACATATACATATCATACACATTCTTATCCACACATATCTCACCAACTAGTCAACCATAGGCTCCACTACATAACAAAAGGCAATAATGTCCCACAAATAAAAATAATGCTTATAAGCATAATATAAACAGTACAATTTCATGAATGATGATAATGCAATTAAAAATAAATATAAAAAGAAAATATATATATATATATACTCTGTCCTCACAAAAAGTCAATTCTTCAAATTTCCATAAAAATTGCTTAAACTTTAGAATTCTAAAAAATATAAATTCACATAAAGCCTAAAGTTTATAAAATTTAGGTTTATGTCTCAAAAGTAAACTTTTCATAAATAAGATATTGGAAGAAATGCTATATTTGGGAGAACTGAATCGAGCACTTGGCTAATTTGAAAGTGGAGAAAATTTAAGTAAAACTTTAAACTAATTTTTTTTTTTTTTTTTCAATTCCAAATGGTTTGGACTCAGCTCATGCCAACCCTTCATTAAGCACTTCCCCGCGCCCCCCCCCCCCCCCAATGAAAACCTTTATTCCTAATCTTCATCAACACTTCGTTAAGCCCAACAAAAAATAAATAAATAAATAAAAGTAATTGGTAACACCAAATCAACTCCCAAATTTAAGGGCCGTTTTCGTGACATCAAAACCAAAGTGGGGTTTGCTGTAAAATAGTGGAACACACACACAGTCCAGACCCAAGAGCTGTGTGTAATCAAGCTTTGTCATTCCGAAAGCTTCAAGAAGAAAATAACATTAACAAAACAGTCTTTGAAGCTCCCAGGTATTTTTCCTCTTGTTATCTTCTTAATTGTCTTTTCTCTCATTGTATTCTTCTCCATGTCTTCTTGTTACAGACATCTTTCTTGTTATACCTAAACTGTATTGTCTGTTATACCCGTCCATATATACCTGTGACATAGATTTTCATGTTCATTTGTATTAGTTTGACTAGAAAACTGATTGAAAATTTGAGATTATTGAATTCTTCTTCTCCAATTATGTACTGTTTTTTCATGTTCTTTTGGTAGTAGACAAAGAGGCAGGCTAAAACTAACGTAATTAGAATGGATTTTAAAATGTTAGATGTAAAAATTATAATTCATGTGCAGGGGAGGAACTACCTTATAATTTTTAAATGAGCCCTTATAATAAGCCCAAATTTGTGCTAAACATAAAATATATTTAAGATGGCCCGCCCAAATTCCATAAATACATATTTTCAATCCATAATTCCAGAAAAAAAAAAATTCTACCCAAGAGAAGGAAAAAAATTCTTTTGTTCATATCTTTCTCCAAATTGAATAGATGAAATACTTTTGTTTTATATATGTGCGTGTGTGTGTGCACGCGCGCGTGTGCGTGTGTGTGATAATTGGATTTTACTTTTATGCTCATGCATTCCACTTGAATTTTTTAACAATCGAAATGAAACAATTATTCCTGAAAAGTCAAGCATAACAAAGCTATTTGAAAAAACTGGACCAAAAAAACAGGGGAAAAAAAAAAGAAGCATCTGAGTGAAATGCTTACTACAAAAGTGGAATGTAAATCTAATTTTTTCCATAAATAATATTATACATACTAAGAAATTTATTGTAAAGAAATACAATTTATGTATTCTTTTTAATTGAATTTTCTATATACATATACATGCTAAGAAATATATTGTAAAGAAAAAATTAAATATGTTTTTTTAATTGAATTTTCAAAAAAAATTTTATAAGTAAATTTTCATATTGTTACTTTTCCCACCCCTCCCCAATTGAAATTTTCTGGATGATAAGGTGGATGATGATGATTTTAGGTTGTTTTGGTTTCTAGATAATGCATAGAACTCATCCCATTTGTTGTAGTAGGCTTATTGGAGTGGAAGTAATTATTGCTATATTGGTTTGCAAAGAATGAAGAATATATTTAGTTAATTTTTTCCAAATTTTATCAGCAAGCAAAATAATGCATCGGTTTTTGAATTATTGCCGGCAGAATTTCTTAGGAGATAATGGTTGAAAATCTCCCTAGAAAATTGCAACTCGAATGAGGTCCTCCATATCTATCCGGATCCAAGTCTTTTTGGGTGATTAGAAAATGTACAAAGAAATATATAAATTTCTTGTTTTTCAGCCAGTGAATCCAAACGGCATTCATATAATCTAATTGCTTGCCACATGCAGGCCAGTCGATAACATCAACATCAAGTTACTAGATATGATGTCCTGTTCGAATATGTCAAACTATATAAACTTAAACTATCTGGGAGGCCTTTTTAGACAAAGAAAAGTATTTTGTACTTATGTACAAAAAGATCTAAATTGCTAGTACCTATAGGACGAGTGGAATATTCCCTTTAGAATTTAAAGACCACATTGTAAAAACGTTCAAAGTAGTTTTGCGTTTTGAGGTTGAAAATTTCTCTTTTGAGATAGTGAATAAGTATACCATGGGTTTTGAGAGTTGGGAAGGGGGGAACAGAGTGAAACAAACTCATCCATGTGGAGCAGAAGTTTGGGGAGAGACGGGGCACATCAATTCTTTATGCTCTGATCTTAGGTTCTATCAAGACAATATACCTGGGGAAGGATTTCTAGCGTCTAAATATCAACAAGAGCAGCAACAACGTTCACTTTGGGATTTTGAGATTTTAGATGATTTATATCTGGATATCGTTTCCCCACCATTTCAGTCATGTGAAGAAGAGATCACAAAGTTTGTTGATGTCCAGATTGAAAATTCAGAGCCTGTTGAAGCATATAATGAAAGGCCATCTGCATTTCCTTCCACCTCTCTTGGAATTTTGAAGAACTATGGAGGTGGTATCAGACGATTGAAGGAAGAAAAGACAAATGTCCCAGCTTATGATACAGCATACACCAAGTCGAGTGGCCGGAAGTTATCTACTGAAGAAATTATGCGGCTAGCTGGGGAGAAGTTCATTCAATTCTCTTCCCAAAGGACCGATGATCTCTGCTTGATTGGACATCCCTTTGATTGTTCTTTTCTTGGCCTCTCCAATGAGGAGACTAGAGATGTGGAACTCGTTCAATATCTTCTAGCATCCGCTGAAAAAGTAGGTCAGCAACAATTCGACCGTGCAAGCAAACTCCTCAACCATTGTGATCAATTGTCTTCCAGTACTGGGAATCCTGTTCAAAGAGTAGTTTACTACTTTTCGGAAGCTCTTCGAGAGAAGATCAATATAGAAACAGGAAGAATCAGATCAAAGGATTTGGGAAAGAAGCACACGTTAGATCTCGAAGAGGCAGTGAGGGGTCCTAATCTCACCCTCATTGCATTTCACCAAAAGGTGCCCTTTATTCAGGTTTGCCAATTCACTGGAATGCAAGCCATTCTCGAAAGTGTAGCAGAGGCGAAAAAGGTCCATATTATTGATCTTGAGATCAGGGGTGGGACTCATTGTACAGTCTTGATGCAAGCTCTTGCTGCTCAACGTGAGTACCCCACTGAGCTTCTCAAGATAACTGCCGTTGGAACTGAATCAAAAGCAAAAATCGAGGATATAGGTAAGCAGTTGATAAGTTTTGCACAGTCCATGAACTTACCCTTCTCCTTCAATGTAGTTATGGTATCAGACATGCTAGATCTCAATGAAGACCTTTTTGAGCTAGATGCAGAGGAGGCAGTTGTTGTCTACTCACCATACATATTGAGGACCATGATTGCACGGCCAGATAGGCTGGAACGTCTGATGAGTGTGATGAGAAACATTAATCCTTGTATAACGGTGGTTGCTGAAATTGAGGCAAACCATAATTCACCAGTTTTTGTGAGCCGTTTCCTTGAAGCTTTTTTCTACTATGGCGCATTTTTTGAATCCCTGGAAGATTGTATGGATCAGGACCCACATAGAATGATTTCAGAATCATATGTTTTCCATGCAATACGGAATATTGTGGCAGCTGAGGGAGAGGAGAGGATGATTCGACACGTCAATATCAATGTATGGAGGGCTTTCTTTGCACGGTCTGGGATGACAGAAATAGAACTGAGCACATCATCCTTGTATCAAGCAAGCTTGCTGGTTAGCAACTTTGCTTGTGGGAGTTCTTGCACACTTGTCATGGATGGGAAGTGCCTAACTATTGGGTGGAAGGGAACACCAATATATTCTCTGTCAGCTTGGAAATTCAAATGAGAGGAATTACGTGAATACTCTCAAATTTGATTTAACTCTCCCACTTAATAGTCTTTTCTGAATTCTGTATAAAGTCGTCAATTATATTCGCATTTTTCGGTCAACTCTCAATGTCAAGCCAAACATTTTTAGAGGGATTGCATGACTCTGATTATTTTTCATTGTTGATTTCTTCACATTTGTGCTTTTGTATAGAGCATAGATCATATTTGTCTATGCGGTTGTTTGGGCCTTCTCATGTGGCTATGGTGATTCTATGCTCTAATTCTACTTACTCAAAGCATGATGTTGAATCCTATATGATCTTGATCATTGCATGTCTCGTTGATACTTGAGTTCTTGGGTTCGTGAGCACTTTTTATTTTCTGCAAGTTCTAATTTCATTCTTTTATAGTTTTTGTTTTTCCTAAGTAAGATTTTATTAACAAACAAAACAGCTACAAAAGACAAGGTGAGGGCATACCCTCAGAATACAAGTGACTAAAAGAATTCCACTTCCACAATCCAGCTAACAAAAAGAGCAATAACCAACAATTTACAAGGGCAAGTGCCTACAAACATAGATCAAGAAATAGTTATTGTAGTGTTCTTTTTTACCTTTCAATTTGGTATGTTATTGTTACTTAAATGCACGTCTCTTTGATAAAATAACTTCTGATATACATTTTATGTCTTCGTGAGGTATGCAGAATGATTAGAAATAACAATGCATTTTATGTCTTCTGAAACCAAATATTTTCATTCATCAAACATTTTATTCTTTTCATAGTGAACATCTTAACAATTCTAATGGATATAGATTGAAATGGACTCATTTCAAACAAAGGATAATCCTAAGTCCACTCAAACTCATATGATTTTTTTCATTCATAAGCTCTTTATTTATTTATTTATTTTTTTGGTTAGGTGAATACTCACACATACACCCACAAATGTTCACTATGGGGCTCAAATCTGTTCCTTTTCATTTGAGGGAGGAGATTTGGTTGGAAACTTAGTTTGATCAAGTAAACTTTGGGTCAAAATTTTAGTATATTTACTTGCTCAAAACTGTTTCGATTGAATGTGAATTTGAATCCAAGCTAAAAATTAATCCTGCTTGGGCATGGGCCTGGTGGACTTTGGCCTGGCCCAAAGTGTTAAAACGATTCGGGTCAGGTCAGTTCAGAAGGGCCGCATTCATGTTATCTCCGACATATTTTTATTTAATTTTCATTGCATATCTAGTTATTTTCCTTCTTCTTTAATTTTTCTTATTTTCTCAGATGATTTTATTAATAGTTTTCGTACTGGCAGTTCCCCAAATATGTCAGCTTGTTTGTGGACCTTAGTGTCACTTTGTTTTCACATCCTTATTTTAGTCCTTAAGACAACCATCAAAGCATTAAGAATGCCATAATTTTTTTGTATTTACTGATATTTCATAATCTGTTGCTACAACCAAGTCCTTGCAATTGTCGCAACGGCAGCCTATGTTGATAACATCAACATCTCAATGTCTCATTCGTTGGATGGAATTCCAAGAAATAAATTGTATATAAATACATTTCAGTATAATATGATGTCTGCAATTTTTTCTGTGGTGAGAGAGAGAGAGAGAGTATTATTATAAATGTTACAATTATCCTGTTCACAAAAATAAATAATCTCTTATATACCCTCATAAACAGGAACCCTCTTTAAAGCTCCCAGGGAATTTCCCGTTTGTTATATTCTTAATTATCTTTTCAGGTATTATTTTCTTGTTCTTCTGTCTTTATGTTAAAGATCCTTCTAAATATATTCATACTGTTGTCTGTTACAATACATATCCATGATGTAGCTTTCCTTGTTCATTTATTTAATTCATTATTCTATGTTACTTTACTACCCTTTTTTAGCTGATTAGAAATCCAAGGCAAAAGAACATAGAATTGTCAAAGACTTGCGCTTTTCAAATACTGAACAAAACTCAGTTCATGTGTTGGACAATTTTCCTAGGCTCAGTTGTGAGGAGGTTAATATTGCTTTATCAGATTTGAAAAAAAATTAAGAAACTATCTAGTTATTTTTTCAAACAGAGGACCACTTTTTGTAACGTCGCTGGTGATTTTCTTAGGAGATTCTGATTTCAGATTGAAATTTTCTATAAAATCGCAACTTGACTGTGGTTAGTATCCATTTAAATCTAATTCTTGCTTGGATGATTGAGAAAATTTAAATAGAATTTATAAAATTGTATCCTGCAAATTGAAATGACATTGATATAGTTAAATTGTTGCTTGCTGCATGCAGGCTGAGCGATAACATCGAACACATCAGCATAAATGTTACTACTATGACGCTCTTAGGTGGTGGATATGTTAAATAAATTATTTTTGTGGGAAAATAGATACAATCTAGAAGGTTTTAAACAATTAGAAGTACTTAGTATATCTGTAAAAAGTTGAAATTGCTAGATCTTTAGGATTATTGGACTATGCTATGCTGTCTGGAGTTGAGAGACCATATTGAGAAAACGTTAATTGTAGTTTCAATTTTGAGTGATGAGTGCAATGAATTTTTTTGAGAAATTTGGTTTTGCTGGATATCTGGACAATTATAGTCCTTATGAGGATTTTAGTGTGGAAGGAGAAAACTTGGTGAAACAAATTCATCTGTATGGAACAAAAGTCTGGGGAGAGCCAGGGCCGATTGGTTCATTTTGCCCTGATCAAGACAGCACTGCTGAGGAAAGATTTTTGTTGTCCAAAAATCAACAAGAGGAGCAACAACAATTATGTCCAGGTTTTGGGATTTTAGATGATTTATGTTTGGATGTAGCCTCTCTACCATTTCAGTCTTCTCAAGTAGAGATTCCAAAGTTTGCTTGCGTCCAAACTGAAAATTCAGAGCCTGTTAAACCAAATAAGGAAGAGCCACACGCATTTCCTTTGACCTCATTTGGGATTTTAAAGGACCATGGAAGTCGAGTCAGACAGTTGAAGGAAGGAAAAACAATAGTGCCAACTTATGATACAGCATGCACTGAGCTGGACGGCCGGAAATTATCAACTGAAACAATTATGCGGCTAGCTGGAGAAAAGTTCATCCAAAGCTCTGCCCAAAGGGTTGATGATCCCTTCATGATTAACCATCCCTTCAGTAGTTCATATATTGGCCTCTCTGATGAGGAGGCTAAAGACGTGGAACTTGTCCAGTATCTACTAGCTTCCGCTGAAAAAGTAGGTCAGCAACAATTCGATCGTGCAAGCAAACTCCTGAACCACTGTGCCAGCTTGTCTTCTAGAATCGGAAATCCTGTTGAAAGAGTAGTTTACTATTTTTCTGAAGCTCTTCAAGAAAAGATTGATCAAGAAACAGGAAGAATCAGGCCAAAAGGTTTTGGAAAGAAGCACTTATTAGACCTTGAAGATGCATTGAGGGGCCCGAATGTCAGTATCATTGAAGTTCACCAAAAGGTGCCCTTCTCTCAGCTTATCCATTACGCTGGAATGCAAGCCATCACAGAAAATACGGCTGAGGCAAAAAAGGTCCATATAATTGACCTTGAGATCAGAAGCGGAATGCAGTATGCAGTGTTGATGCAAGCTCTCGCAAGTCGATGTGAAGGCCCGGTTGAGCTTCTCAAGATAACTGCCATTGGAACTACAGCAAAACCAAAAATTGAGGAGACAGGTAAGCGGCTGATGAGTTTTGCCCAGTCCTTGAACTTACTCTTCTCTTTCAATGTAGTAGAGGTATCAGACATCCTAGATCTCAATGAAAACCTCTTTGAGCTAGATGCAGAAGAAGCAGTTGCTGTTTACTCATCATATTTGTTAAGAACCATGATTGCAGGGTCAGATCGGGTAGAACATTTGATGAAAGTGATAAGAAACATTAAGCCACGTATTATGTTGGTTTCTGAAGTTGAGGCGAACCACAATTCACCAGTTTTTGTGAATCGTTTCCTTGAAGCTCTTTTTTACTATGGTGGATATTTCGATTCCCTGGAAGACTGTATGGATCGGAATGACTCACATAGATTTTTTTTTGAATCTGTATGTCTTTTTAATACAGTAAGGAATATTATTGCAGCTGAGGGAGAGGAAAGGATTACCCGACACGTAAATATCAATGCTTGGAGAGCTTTTTTTGCACAGTTTGGGATGAAGGAAATAGAACTGAGCTCATCATCTTTGTATCAAGCAAGCCTGGCGGTTAAGAACTTTGCTTGTAAAAGTTCTTGCACACTTGGTATGGATGGGAAATGTCTGATTATTGGGTGGAAGGGAACGCCAATTTATTCTCTTTCTGCTTGGAAGTTTCTATGAGGGGAATGAATGGATTTATCAGTCTCCCATTTAATTCTTTTTTTATGATTCTGTATAAAGTTTCCAATTGAACTTGCACCTTTCTGATGAGCGCTCATTGTCAGGTAAAATACTGTGAGAGGGATTGCAGGAGTATTTGAAGATTTATCATGATAAATGCCTTCACAACTCTGCTGATGTACAGAGCAAAGTTCATGTTTGGGTTTGCTTATCCTGTGCTCTTATTCCACTTGTTGAAAGCGTGTTGAAATCATCTATGATCACAATTATAACTTGTCCCTTTGATACTTAATTCATGAGTGTATGTTCTGTTTTTTTATCCTCTATTTTCATTTTTGTGAAGTGTGTCTTACTTTTCTGATATTAGTCCGTCTCAGGGTGACAGAATCTGCAGCACCTATGAAAATGCTAACACCAGAAATGTGTGTGTTTTTCAATCTTCTAAAGAGTGAACTGGGAAACAGTAATTCCTGAAAGCGGTTAATATTCAAAAAAATGCAAAATTCTCCTCAGGTGCCAAAAAAATAAATGTCTCTCTCCTCAGTCCTTTCCACTCTGAGACTTTCCATCACTGGAACTCGTCGACTACATGTAAAACAAAATGTTGTAGTGCCACCCTAGGGCAAAGAGTTCCAATTATATGATTGTTAGAGATTTGGAGAACGCTTTTAATAGTTTTCCTAGAGATATGATATGTTAGATTTATGAAAACAAGTAGATATACTAACATGATAAATTACATATGATGGAGTAGTAACTATAGTAAGAATAGTTGGAGAAGAAATGTGTAAACTTTTTATTACTATAAACTTACAATCGAAATCAATACTAAGTCTCCTTTTCTTTTTCTTTTTATTTAAGTATATGCTATCTGTTAATGATATTATTTTGATTATGAAACTAATGTAAAAATTAATTCTAAATTAGAAGTCTAGAGGGGAGCATTACAATGAAGGGTTGAAGTTTTGAAAAATAGTAGAAACTAACATTGAAAACATGGAACATGACTTTTAACAAACAATAAATGTAAGTTGAACTTCTATGATTAAACTCCTTAGTTTTCCCACTCTCTTAGCTTAGCAAGCTTGTATCCTCCCATTATTTTTTTTTTACACATAATTCAGAATAAAGATCATTGGATGTTCTATATTTACAACTCTTTTAACTTCTTTATTTACACATTTGTATCTTTCATAAATTTTTCTATTTTTACCAAAGTTTATGACACTCCCTTCTTGTTTTAATTATGGTTTGAACTTTTTCTTTCACCATTAAGTTGTGTTCAACAATGACCCTTTTCCTTTTTATTCTGATCTCCATCCTCTATTTCATTCTCATCTCTAGAAAGCATTTTTTGAACAATGTTTGATGGTGGGAACAGAACCTAGCATGTCAGCCTTGTACTTGAGCGAGGCTGGTGGTTAAGAACTCTGGTTGTGGGGGTTCTTTCAAACTTGATATGGACAGAAAATGCTAATTATTGGGTGGAAGGAAAAACCTATATATTTCTTTCTGCTTGGAAGTTGTACTAGGAGAAATAGAAAATATTAAGGGACTAAAATACGAGTTCTAAATCTCTTATCAGCTAACCACTGTCTTCCATGTGACCCCAACGGAGTTGATAAGATCACAATTCCTACTCTGTGCCAGATATTGTTATATAAAAAATTTAGGATTAGATAGTTTAGGCTTTTCTTTACAGTCCTTCAGCTTTGTGTAAGTGGATTTTTTTCTTGATTTTGTCTGTATGCATGAAAGCTTCCTTTTATTTTCTTTGTTGGTTGATAAAGTTCTCGTTGCTTTTATGAAAATATGTGTTCCAGCCACTCCAGAAAAAGTTCAGACATTTTAGGACTTACACTCCCTGAATCCAATCACTACTCCTTTGGCTACCTTAGGCAAATGAATTTAACCATTGTGCTTGGCATCCAAGATCATGGCTGTTGGATTCATGCCGATGGTGAACATGGTTCAATTCCATGCCTGTTTATCCACAGCTCCGCTAGGGTACTGCAACTGTGACCAATTAAACTATCTAGCATTCAATTTGAGTAGTGGCAGATTAAATTGTATGCACGCCACCAAAAGGATCTAGGCCACCAAAAGGATCTTGTTTGCTTGATGCTGATTAAGAAAGGTGCATCTGTCAGCTGATGGAGACTATAAAAAAGGGGGGGGGGAGGTGGGGGTGGGCTGAATAATGGTTTGGTTTCAAATCATTATCCATCAGGGGATTATAGAAATAGATGATGAGTAATCTTTGTCCTATGAGAATCTAGAATAGCATACCTATACAACTAGCAATTATACCATCCAGATTGAGGAGTACGGTTCTTTTCATGAGACTTCCAGTCCATAAGCTTGAAGGTATTCTGATACATTAAGATGAGGGAAAGTCTTATATAAGCACACAAAGAGTGAGGACCTGCTGGGGTACATCTAAGACCAAAGATTGTCTAGTAAAGAACAACTTCTGCAGCCTGCAGGGCTTGCATTACTGGGCTTTTTAGGATTAAAGCCTGCTACATCAATAGGTAAACTGTCAATGCAGCAAGAATCATGCTGAGCTTGACACATTTTCCAAAGACAATGAAGCATCTCCCTTCATCTCAAGTTGGCCAGAACAAGAGATTAGCTCTCAGCTCATGGTTCACCTTGGCTAACATTCAAATTAGACTATTTACTATATGACTGTGCATAGAAATTGCTCAGGCAGAATAGTTGGCTATTTTTCAATACCGAGAAATTCAGTCTGGAAGAGTCCTTTTCTATTTCTTCTGTAGCCTTTTGAGAGAAACTGGATTGAAATACAACAAATATTGCATTAAAGGGTTTGGGATATAAGAGGCATCGATGCTTCTGATTTCTTGCCATTGCATGTAACTTTTTCTGATTAATCTTAATTAAATTCCCTTAATCTACAGCATTAAGAAACTGAACAGGATGATTTCAGAATTGGCATGCGTTGGACAGAATCCAGAAAAGAGGAGAGGACAATTTGACAAATGAAGTCATCCATACAATCTAATGATTTTGCTTTCGTGTTCAAATGGTTTTTTCATTTAAGAATCATTATTTGGTGCAATAAGTAAAAATTTTGGTGCCATCCTCAACCTCAACACACCTTTGTGAGTGTGCCCTACCTTCATGGAGAGAGAGAGAGGTTTCTTGGTTGCTTATTTCATGATAACCATTTTTTGGCCTCAGGCATAAGAATCAATTTCCAGACTCCAGCACCGAGAACATTCCTAAGAATATGGAGTGGTCTTGTCTTGATCAACTTATGGAATTTTTGACAGCTCCAATTAACAATGATTGGATCGGTTATTGTGAAGAAATGGACACACAAGGAAACCCATAACAGCTTACCCATGACAACTAGTCATCTGTTTGTTTTCTTATTTAATTTACCTTTTACTGGTTGTACCATGTCTTCTTATTTGTCATCAAGTGAGACTATTCTTCATAAAATATGTTATGCTTACTTGTCTCTTCTATCATATTTTTTTCCTTTTCCTTTCCGAATCTTTTTCTTTTGTTAATCTGTCTGATGTTGCTGACTGAGTTTCTTAGGATTTTCTTTTGCTTTTACGGAAATATCGCACCTTGTTTGGATTTATATCCTTGCTTCTGTTGTAAGTCGGATTGTACGTCGGATGGAAGACAAATTGGTAACTCAGACGTGAAAGCTGAAGTTACTATTTTATTGTTGTGGTTGATATGTCGACAAAGCTTGATAAAACCTTTTTCTAACTGTTTGGATTTGGTTTGCATGAATCTTGTCATCATTCTGTTCTATTTAAAGTCCTAGTATTAGCAAATCAAAATGCTATCATATTTTTCTTATTATCTTAATCACATAATTTTGGTTTTTCATTTCCACTAATACTACCCCAAATCTGAATCGTATTTCTCATCTTCACTGGTGCAGTTATTAGTTCTCGTATACATCATCAAACCATTTTAATCAATTATATCCTTCATCTGCAAATGGTGTTACTTTAACTATCTCGTGAATATGTTTTATATCTCTAGTTTGTCCTCTGGCATACATCCTTCTGATCTCTATGACTGACATATTTGTTTGCCAAAAAAGAATTTAAAATAAATAAATAAAGAAAAAATAAAAAGGAAACAACTTTTTTACATTATCTACTTGTTATTGCCCACTCCTGCATGGTATCATGACTGCTTGTATCTGTTGTGTAGATATATTCTTATTCAAGCAAGAAGCATGCAGGAAATTTTCCATTCTGTGTCGGTGAATACTCTGTTATCTTTCAATTCATGCCTTTCTGTTGCAAGTAGTTTGTGCTTATGGTTCTTTACAGATCAATCATGTGGAGTAAAAAGGAAGAATCACATTGTTACTTATAAACAGATGATTTAAGGAGAGATGGATTCCAATTGCTCAGAAATCACAAAGAAGCGCAAAATACCAACCAGAGTTGCAGGCCCTGTGGAATCAAAGAAGGAACCATGTCAATTATCTTTAGCATCATCGTTAGACATTTTGAACAAATATGGAAATAGACTGAAGCGTTTCAACAAGGAGAAGCTAAAAGAGTTTACGTCTGATGGTACACCATGTGATACAACTACTGCACAGGAATTATCAACTGGAGACATCATAAGGCTAGGAAGAGCAAGATTTCTTCATCATGTCACTCAATGGTCCGATGATCCTTCCATGCTTATTGATCCCTTTAAAAATCCCCTTTGCGGTTATTCTTATGAGGTTCTTAGAAATGTGGAACTTGTTGAAATCCTTCTTGCTTCTGTTGAGAAGGTTAGCAACAAACAGTTTGATCGTGCAATAAAATTGCTCAGCAAGTGCGAGCAGATGTCTTCGGCCAATGGTAATCCAGTTGAAAGAGTTGTTCACTATTTTGCTGAAGCTCTTTCTGAGAGGATCGATCGAGAAACGGGTAAAGTTTCAAAGGAGGGTGACAATAGGCATGCCATGGAAATTGAAGACGCTATGACGAATCTCAAGCCTGCTTTTGTTGTGTGTCTAGAAAAGCTTCCCTTCTGTCAAGTCACTCAATTCACTAACATCCAGGCCATCTTGGACAGTGTGGTCTCTGCTAAAAGGATCCATTTGGTTGATATTGGAATTAGAAGTGGGATGCAATGGACGGTCTTGATGCAAGCTCTTGCAGTTCGGTATCAATGCCCATTGGAACTTCTTAAGTTAACTGCAATTGGAACACCTAGACAGAGTATTCAGGAGACAGGTGATAGGTTGGTGTCTTTTGCCAAGTCCATGAACATACCCTTCTCTTTTAGAACAGTTGTGGTACCAGACTTCGAAGATCTCAAGGAAGATCTCTTTGAATTAGAGGCTGGTGAAGTGGTGGCCGTTTACTCAACAATGATTCTATCAAACATGTTAGCACGGCCCAGTCGCTTGGAAGCTCTAATGGGGGTTATTAGGAACCTCCGTCCATCTGTAGTGGTGGTAGCAGAATCAGAGATGAATACAAATGAAGCAACTTTCATGGATCGCTTTGTCGAAGCACTCTCTTTCTATGGTGTACTTTTTGATTGTATTCGGACTTGCGTGGATGAGTCAGATCCGTGTAGGATCACCACAGAAGCAGAATTATTTGGGCGGTGTATTCAGAATATGGTCGCTACTGAGGGTGAGGAGAGGACGTATCGGCATGTGAAGATTGATACTTGGAGGAATATTTTTGCAAGGTTTGGAATGGTAGAAACAGAGCTGAGCTCATCATCTTTGTATCAAGTGAACCTGCTGATTAAGAAGTTTGCTTGTGGGAATTTCTGCACAATTGATTTCAATGGTAAATGCTTGCTTCTTGGGTGGAAGGGAACGCCAATTCATTCTATTTCTTCTTGGAAGTTCCATCAGGGGTAGAAGGAGAGAGCAGGATTGGAAATATGGATCTGAGATAGCATGCTGCAGCACTCTTTCAAGGAGTACTGGTTTGATGAAAAAAATAAAGCACGGTGTAGGAGTTGCACACCCAAAGATAAGTTATCGCTCCTTTATTTCATTCTTCATCACTTGTTTGAACTTAACAGAAGTCCAATAAGTTCTCAGCTAAAAACTGTGTTCAACAAAACTGATACCACTGTCTCATTCCTACAAATCTGTAGAATTCGTGAAGGAGCTAGTCCGTATACAAACAAGCAGAACCAAGCATTCCTTTGAGTTCACCTCTTATCTTTCACTCCTTACGGACTCACTGGCTAGGCTCACTTTTATTTTCTGAGAAATTTCATTTTCGATACTATGCAACATCGTATTCATTGTGGCAATCCAAGAGAAGCATTTGTTATGCACTGATATTTTCTTCTTCTACTTCTTCTTTTGTTTCTTTTTCTTTTTTGTGCCTGTGCATAGTTACATACCATATCTGAAGGCAAGCAAGTCCATTTCAATTTGTACTCTCTCTCTCCTGGAATCTTTGAATTAAAACTAGAGCATTGCCCATTTGTCTATTTTTTTCTGAGTGATATGCATAACAAATGTGGATGAATCAATATTGCTAGAAAATAATTTTAAGTGGAAGATAGAAAGATATTTGTGTGCAATGCTAGCTTAGGGGAACTGATTAGACATTCCAGAGAAAGCTGTTGAAACTCTTCTCCAAGATGACAGAATTGGGAAAAGAGGGAATAAGTCACATAGATATGCATTTTAGGCAGCTTTTAACCATTCAGGCCTACTTAATTATCAGTAGCAAATCTTCATGGAATGTATGGAGAGTTCTTGCTTGGTTTCTAAACTGTTTGTGAATGTGGAGTCAGGAGCACTAGTTGGAAAGGAATTTGATTGAAACAAAGCCACTAAGTCATCAATTATATGTTCTTCTGTCAATAATGCATTCGGTAACAGATGGTGAATGTTGGAAAGTTGAGGAATATATGAAAGTGAGAGGTTTCATGAATACACTTGGACTCATTCAAGTTGAATGGTGCAATCCATGACAATGTATGTAGGTTATGAGAGAACAATCTCACCATAAGATTAGAGAGATTAATAATATGGTCAAGATGTCTATTATCCTTGAATGATACCTGTTTCAGCTAAAAAAAATGTTAGGTTCGATGAGAGCACCAGGATGCAGCTCACTCTTGCTAAATACTGATTCAACCCAAAACTCACCAATTTATGAAATGTTAACTGAAATGTCCAATTAGCTATGTACTGTGAATGAGGAGTACTGACTATAAGACATTACCATCTGGTCCATCTGGCCTTTTTTCTGCTAAAAATTTCTTCTTCTTCTTCTTCTTCTTGTTTGTTTGTTTTGGACCACTGACATTGATGCTGGGTCGATAACAGGTGGATTGACACCCCCATTGTCAACCAAAAAAAAATATATATATATATAAGGATATTGAAGCTCTCTCTTAATTGGTTCCTTTGTATTTCAGATTGGTTTTCTGTCCCAAAGTGAAGTGTCAAACAAAAACAGTACTTATCTGGGAAGGAAATAAAGATATATATGGCAGCTATATACTCATTCAAGTACACATCTGAAACCATGAAAGAAGTTGGTTATGGAGTCTTGAGTTCAAAAAAAAAGGTTGTTGCTTTTCTTTCTTCTTTTAACAAAATTAAAGAAGTCTGTTTGCATTCGCAGTCAGTCTACGTTGTCTTTTATGGTAATTGTGTACTCTCCAACATGAAAGTTGTCTTTTGGTTGTACAACTTAAGATTACAGCAGACAAAACCTAAGACAGCTATGAAGCATTGTTCTTTTTCATGCTTTTCTAGTTCTGTCCTCACTATTGAAGGAGCACTAAAAATTTCAAGTGAATAGAGAATAATTGCAAGAAAATGGTGAAAAAAAAAAAAAAAAAAAAAAAAAAAAAAAAAAAAAAGACACACACACACACACAAAAGCACTCACTATAACTAATAGTATTGAGAAAAATCATCACATCAACTTGAAAATTTGGAACTATATATTATATATTATTTCTGATCTCATACTTGTGTGCTGCTAAACCTGTTTCACTTGTATGACAACCATTAAACAGTGGACAAGACTAATTTAAGGATGACAACCATTAAACAGTGGACAAGACTAATTTAAGGATAAAAAGCAAGAAACAGAATCACTTCTCCTGTCAAATGGCTAGAGGGTGATGTTCGATGACCCTTGAATACATGAAGATGCTTTTACTAACCGTAGATTGCGTCAGGCAGAATGGAGAAGAATGGGATAAAACCCTTTATTTTCTTGGAACTCAAGTTGCAAAATATTTTTCCCTAGCTAGAAGCATAATGGAAGAACTTCACCTAAGGACTTTTAAAGGTGTAAATATTTTCTTCCAGTTTGAAATTTTCATTGGGACATCATGAAAAAGAGAATTCATGGATATGAAGGAACAGAGAGGAGAAGGGAAGGAGGGAATTCAAGAGAGTTTCTCATCAATGGCTAAATCTTCAATTTCATTTGTATGATTAAAAAGGCTGAAGCCCTGGATCTCAGAACATTTTCTAGGTAATATGATGGAGGCAGGCCCTGAATTGGATGAATGGATAGGCGTTGGATGTTTACGTGCAATGACAACTGAATTTATGACCTCATCAGTTGGATGAAAGACAGAAAGAACTTCAAAGTATTGAAGATCGAAAGGATCAATGACAGGGTAGAGGAATGCTCGAGCTCCGTGAGCACTCCTCAGTACTAGAAAAGCTCCAGGAGACATGTGCTTAGCCAAGTGATCAATGACTCGAGCCTTCTGCTCCTTGCTCATGCCCACTAGAGCTGCCAAGAAAACGACTTCATAGTTCTTCAAGCTATTCGTTACCTCCATGATATCTGCTGTATGGAAAAACATCCGGTTTGATAAGTCCGGATGTGATGAAACCAAGTGGAGACCTTTGGAATTTGCCAATGGATCAAGATCATAATTGTGAAAGGTGGTCGTTTTCAGATGGTTAGAAGCCAAGACAATTGAGGTTAGAGGGAGGGGACCAGAACCAATGAATGCGACTTGGTTAGGAACTTGTGTGCAGTGTTTGGTAAGCATGGTGAACTCTAAGTGGCTAAGTTTAAGGTAGTTGGAATAGTAAGGGAAGAGGCTGAGATGGTTAATAGGGTTGTCATAAGATCCTATGAGGACAGAGTAATGGCTTTCCAGGAGTCCCTCAGCTTCCCCACAAAGTGTGATCAACTTGGACCTGATTTCTTGTACCCTTTTGGTTAACTTGGAAATATCAATGGGACAAGAGGGCATGCATGTGAGTACAAGTTGGGTGAAGAGAGTGTTGACATGCATGGATGGTTTGAGATTTTCTAACTTCAAAATCTTGTCATAGATATCACAAACCTTTTCTACCAACAACTCCTCTTGGCAGCCCATGTTCACAAGAGTTTCCAAGGAAGAGCAACACACAACTTTGGCCTTGGCCTAAGTGTCACCCTTCAAGGAGAGAGAGAGAGAGAGGAAGAGAGAGAGAGGATGCACCCTAGAAGGAGGACTTATTCATGAATGATAGTGAAGGGAGAGAGCCAAAAGACACCCTTGGGGAGGGAGAGAGACAAGAGATACCCTCCAAAGGTCCCTATTTATGTGCACACAAAGAGAGGGAGAGAGAGTTTGGATCCATTTCCTTTGTGGTACACTAAAAACCATAGAAGGAATAAAACAGAAACTATTTCATTAATTAGAAAAACGAGGGTCAATTTCGCATGAGAGGGTTGTTTTAGATGCTCTGGACCATCATGGAGATGGGGCCAAAATTATTCACTAGGATTAAATGTTAATACATTTTTAAAAGGGGTTTTATTGAAAATAATAATAAATAAATAAGAAACTTAATAGACTAATCAATGCGTATATATGGTGACGAATAGACATGAAAAAGATGACATCATATGAATCCTACGTCTCCTTTTAAAAATATGTTTTAACCACACTAAAATGTAAGAAAATTAAGCTGCTCTCATATTTTTCAAGGCTAAGATCCATGCCAAAGGTCACACACTCAAATCCACCTTGGTCATGACCAATAACACACATACAAAACCTGGAAGAGGCTATGAATTATTGAACCAATGGGTTGTTTTGCTGAATGTGTTTGCATTCTATGACAAGTGGGTGCTGAGTATCACCAAGCACTGAGAACAGGGTCAGCAATGCATGCTACAAAAGAGATCAGGTGCTGCGTTGTCCAACCTTATGAGCTTATCATGTCGACATTTCATGTTGTCATAGCAGATTACCCTTCTATTAAAATACTTACTCAACTGTGTTATTGCCCTTTAATTATTTATTGATCTTATGTATGCTTTCTGTTTTAATCTTATTCTAGGACTAATAAGTACAAATTAGAACTCATATTCTGTTCATACTTGCAATTCTTTGTTCGTTGTCTATTGGATAGTTTCTCATAGTTTTCCTTCAGATGGTGACATTAGGTTACATTATGGGAAATCTCACATGTTCAATGCACCATCTGATCTGAATGATCAATCTGCCACTACGGGAGACTTTGGTTTGTGACCGTTTGTCCATAGAAAAATAATTTAGAGTATGAGAGTCGGACAAATTCGAAATGATCCCTGCTATTGTAAGAGCATGGCGTGGGTTCTATCAGTGGTAACTATTTACAACATACTGACTATTAATTTGGACCAATAATAAATGGACACATTCTATTTTTAATTACCAAATCATAAATAATAATCAAATCACTATCTCTGATTTGGTAAATGAATATCTATCCACCATTTTGATTTGGTAATTAAAGATGATGTGTACATGTATTATTGGTTCATATCAATAGTCATATGTTGTAAATCCTCACTAGTGAGGACCTAAGTATTATCTTTTTTGATGAAGATTTACAACAAAACTATTGATGTGAACCAATAATAAAAAGACACATTCTATTTTAATTACCAAATCATGGATGGTAATCAAATCACTAACTCTAATTTGGTAAGTGAGTATCTACCCACCATCTTTGATTTGGTAATTAAAGATGACATGTCCATTTATTATTAGTCCACATCAATAGTCAGTGTAAATCCTTACCACATCCTCTGATTTGGTAAGTGAGTATCTACCCACCATTTCTGATTTGGTAATTAAAAATGACATATCCATTTATTATTGATTCACATCAAAAGTCATATGTTGTAAATTCTCACTAGTAAGGACCAAAGTATTGTCCTTTTTTTTTTTTATCTATCTAAGTGTCGTCGTATGAATGATGTGATCAATACCCGTTTCTCACGATGATTCTTTCTTATTTGTCTATACTCTCTATCATTACTCTTGTTTTTTTTGTTTTTTATAAGGTCTTTCTATTACTCTTTAAAAGAAATGAAGTGAATGCATTTTTGAGAGATCATAAGCATATAAGCATAGGCATTTCAAACTCTAATCCATTACATCAAAATTGGTTTTGAGTTGAATGGTATTATACGTCAGATGCAATAAGGACCCAAAGTAATGGATTTAAATAATAATATAAAAAAAAGTGATAGTATGTGTTGTTAGATTAAATATGTTAGTCCTGTAGGCTTGTAGCAACTCAGAAGGGGAACTCTAGGAATAAATATTTTCATGAAATATTTAGAAAAAAAAAAGTGGAGTAATGATCCCAGAAAATTATTGTAATTAAAATGATACAAAGTTGAACAACAATGTGGCTGTAGTTTAGTGGTAAGAATTCCACGTTGTGGCCGTGGAGACCTGGGCTCGAATCCCAGCAGCCACACTAAACTTTATTTTTCTTTTTTTGTTTCGAATATTGCAAATCTGCTGTGTAGTAACTCAGTTCTAGACCACTGACTAGATATCACTCCTAAGTGCTGAAACTGATGTAGAGTTAACAGCAGAAACATCCCAAATTCTTTCTGCAGCGAAATTGAGTGCATACTTGGGCTGCTTATTTGGGAAGAACAGCCCAAAATGTTTTTCAAGCTCAGGCTGCTTGTTGTTCTCATCAAACATGGCAAACAGGTAAGTTTCTATGGCTCTGTTAGGCCTCCTCGGAGTTCCTCCCTTCACATGTCGAATCAAATTCTGGTTATAAGCGCGCGCATTGTCAACACTTGTTGCAAAACCACCTGCAGATGGCCATCCACTTTCGGACACCACCACCTCCAATGATCCCCCTCCAGCCCTCTCTAGGGCAGCATATAGAGCATCCAACATGGCATCAAAAAGGTTCTTGTATCCACGTTGTCCGTCCCAAACCACCACTGATGGAGCAGTAAACAGCGCGTAGGGAAGTGAGATGTCACGCGGATTGCCAGCATAACTAAAATAAGTGTACACATTAGCAAGCAAAGGGGACTTGGTGTTTGCTAGGAAGCCTATAATAGGGTCCAAGTATGGCCTAACATCACCCCTAAAGGCACCTTGTGATGGAGGGTAGGAGTTGCCTATCAGTGTCATGTCAATAGCAGTTGACACTTTGATTTGGTTCTGGAGTCCAGCCGATGCAATTGCATTGTGTATGTTTCTCATGGCAGGAAGAACAAACTGTGCCATCCAAGATGTGCCTCCATTAACTGGACTCACCTCATTTCCGACAGCAATGTAGCGAAATCTGACACCTGGCCAGTAGTTTCTTACATTCCTTTGTACCCATGAATTGGCATTGGATGGATTGGAAGCTAGACTTTGGAGGTCTGAGTTTGGTACACCTAGCATGAGTTCGATATTAGAGCCTCTGAGAGCTTGCAGGGCAGCTTGATTCGGATCATAGATTCTCATCCTGCTGATTTGGCGCGATTTATAGAGCGCCACAACTTCTTGTGCTGGTGGTAGATTGTTTCCTAGCATTCCATAGCAAACACCTACTGATTGTGCACCTGCATCAAAAATATTTCTTGATATAAATATCTCTATAACTATGTATTTACATATTCATTTCTAGATAAAAATATTGTTGCCTAGCCTTTCTTGATATAAACATTAATCTTCATAAAATATTTCTTGATATAAAAATGTCTATAATTAAGTGGGAGGGATAAAACCATACATATTCTTTAATGCACCACTCCAGTCACTGATGCATTTTTATGAAGACAACAAAAATTAATATGTCTTAATATATCCACAAAAACCAGCGGCCATTTGGGAGCAGACATGATCACAGAGGGACAGAGTCTAGACAGTCGATTTTTGTTTGGAAGGAATATGAATTGGGAATTTTCATCCACACCTGTTTGTTGATACAAGCCTAGAAAGGTGCATATATGTAAGGGACAAAGTCGGTGTGTGAGTGTGACTTAGCTATCAAAATAGAATTATGAGCTGTTAGACTAGTATGAATGTAAACATATCATTAGCAACTGTAAAAATCAAGATAAGCTTAGAGAGATACCTGTTAAATCAAAGCTTGCCATTGACAATCCCAGAAGAAGCAATATAGCAGCCATAGTGGAATTAGTATTTGTTTTGGAGATGGTATCCATGGAGAAGAACATAAAGCAACAAGACTATATGTATCAGATTCTGATGATATCAACACCACTACTTTGATCCCTTTATATAGACATATGGCAAATGACTTTCTACACTAGAGATGGCATTGTAAATCAGGAAGGCAAGCATGTTCAACTCATGCTTATCTTCTCATTTTTTAAAATTTTCTTCTAACAAAGCCAGTGTTTTTTATTATTATTATTATTATACTTGCAATTTTATAATTGGAAGTAACTAACGGGTCAGTAGCCTAACGGTATTAGTCTCTTACTTTTCAAACGGGGGTCAGATGTTCAAGTTTCAGAATAGACGTATATGTGTGAATACCAACTAAAAAATAAAAGAATAATTGGAAGTAGATATGGGTCAATATAATCTTAAAAATCTCAATATTAATGGTCAAATAAATGACTAGAACCCACATTGCATTTCACTTTCCTAACTTGTTTAATTTTCTCTTGTTGATGTAACATCAGATTAGAGTATGTAATTGAAATTATGGTGGGAAACCAACTAATTACTCCAAAGACTAATGATAATCTAGTAACATTTTTTTCCAGACAATACTCCATGTAATTGCAGTGGATGATGCTCTATAGACTGCACCACACACGCACCCCTCAGAGGACACTCATCATCCATCTGATCATCAGTGATAAATGATCACACTACAAACATGAGAATGCACGCTCTCGTATGCCACTCTCGTATGTCACTTTATCATGTGCTCATTATATTATATATAATGCAACAATTTTTTCTTTTTATGTTTATGTTTTATTTCGATGTAATGTGTTGCATTAGCAATTTACGTACATTAAAAGATCCCGTGACTCCCGTCCATAAGAGGAGATCCGGATTCATTCAATCCATCTCTCCCATCATCTGAAAACCTACTTACATTGAATAATGACTTTTTTATACATCAAAGTTACAAAGGGATATGCTTTTTTCTTTTCTTTTCCTCATTGAATATTGACTTTTTTAAACATCAAAGTTACAAAGGGATATGCTTTTTTCTTTTCTTTTCTTTATTGAATAATGACTTTATTATACATCAAAGTTATAAAGGGATATGCTTTTTTTTTTCTTTTCCTTATGCTATGCAGTTGAAGAACTTTCTAACCATTTAGATCAGGCATGATGATTTGGCAATTGACACATGCAAACGTAAAACACGCAGACTCTACTTCCAGACCAAATCAACCTTGCGTGACAAACCTTCTAAATACTTTATTGACATTCATGAATTTTGTAGTGATCATAATTAATGCTACTTTATGGCGGCTATACTTTAACAATGGTGGACTAGATTATTTGAACACGTCATGACAGTGCTAATTTAACTAACAAGATAGCACAGCCGGCGGAGGAGACTCGAAGTCATAATTTTTGAAGGAGGACTGCATCCAAGGATTTTTTTTTTTCGTTTTTTAAAAGTTGAATCAAACACGCACACTAACGAGATGACTCACACACTATCCCTTTGTTTCGGCGTAAAATATTCTTTTTAAAGTAAAATATTCTTTTATTTTTATTTTGATAATGTTTGGTAAGAGGTCGAGTCCATCGAACGGGGCATATAAAATAACTTGTCTAAAATTGATGAATAAGTTAAAAAAAAAGTGGGTGAACAGTAGACAGCCTTACCCCTTTTTCTAGAGAGGTTGACTCCCGAGCCCAAACCTGAACCGGAAGCGGAAGGACGAATGGGCACTTAACCATTAGACTGAGTTACTGAAATTCTGAAACCATGATGATCAGTTCTTGTATGCAAACAATCCTGCTTGTAAAGAATTGTTCTATATGCAAAATGTACCATGGCTGTCTTCTGTATGCGATGTTTATAAAGACACATCACAGCTCGGGGTACCCGTATTTCAATATTAAGAATATCCACTATGCCTTGTTATAATGAACATAAAAAAATATATATATATTGATCCACGTTAGCATATAGAAACTCAAGGTAATAAAAATAAATAATCTACAAATGCTATAACTTTCCAAAAGTACTTTATAATTGTTTTCACCAACACGATAGCAATAAATTTCCATAGAAATCTTGTATTCTGTAATACTTTTACAAATACATACACATCAAAAGCATACAATCATGTCCTATTTTTCCCCTCGTTAGGTGGTGGAATTATGTTAGAATCCTCAGCAGCTCAGGTATAACCAGTTGCTCCGTCGATTCCTGTGCAACTTCATGGATGGAGGGGTCGACTCTCGTCTCTCTCTTACACTGGCTGTGCATTCACTGCTTGACAGCACTGGAACTGCACAAAATTAGCAAATTATTATTACTATTATTATTATTATTATTATTATTGAAATTGCTGCAACTACTCAACCAAGGACAGGAAAAAATGAAAAAAGATACCCCATCATATGATCTCTTTTTATCTTTTTCAAATGGAGAGTCTCATGTCTATTTCTCAAAAACATGCATGTAAATTATGCTTGCTTATTCGTTCAGAAGCATCACATGCCGAGCAGACTAATCATACAAAAGTGTGCAGTAGAAGGAAAAACGACATAACAAAGACGAGCTAATTTCAGCTGTTTCACAAGCACCTAAAAAGCCTCTGAAATTTTGTTTGGGAAATCTATGAGTGCATGTCTATTAGATCAAATAACTTATTCAGACAACCAATACAATTTGTGCAATCTAATCAGGAAAAATGAAAATCTATGATAATTCATAACAACTAGTAGTGCCAAAGTGAGGCTTTCCAAGTCAAATAGATTGAAAATAGAGAAACTAATTTATAAATAAAATAAATTAATTAATGCACATACTTTTGGGCAAGTAATGTTGATCAAGCAAGATGCATGGAAACAGAAACGTAAAAATTACCCATTCTACAACAAAATAGTGGCATGGTTGGATAACTAGTTAAGCTTATTGAGCTTTAGCAAATAGGATCACCATCCATACAAATTTAGAGACAATTGCCTGAAAAATATCATTAATTTTCACTTTAGAAGGATTCCATGGTCATTATGCATGCTAAAGAACTACTTACGCTAGAACTAGGAGTCTTGTGAATCTCCTGCTCCCTACCCAGGGTTCTGTTCCCTCCTTCAAAATATATATTCATTTACTTCAAAATGTTCCAAGACGATGCTTTTAGTGGCCAACTCGTATAGAGGAGAAAGATTTTTGTTTCCTTTTCCTGTATAGTCCTAGTGACAAAGATACGAATAAAATCCCCCAATTTGATCCTCATGATGACTAAGCCACTATAATATAATGGCTTTGATAGGAGATAACACTGATCAATGGACAATTTTAACAAACAATTCATTTGCATGGATTAAATCTTAATAATTTCACGTTACGTATACTTTAAGCACATACTTTTTGCATCCTATAAACTGCATCTTATTCTTGGGTAACCATGCATTTTTATAACTAATTTACAATATTATGACTCTCAACCTACTATAATCTAGTTTCACTGTCTCTAATGTTCCTTCTAAAATTCAAGTTTCTATTAAATATTCAACTTTTTTTCACAAGAAGTGTGACATTCAGCAACTTTCTCAATCTACATTGACATCCTTCTACTTAATAATCTCAATACAACAGTCAATATTGATATTTCTTCAATGTTCCATATTTCCAAAAGCGGTTGATAGATGCAGCTATTAGAACAACTACTGAGATGACATTTTTCAATTTTGAGTAACTTACATACAAACCAAAGTCATGAACCAATCTTCTGGTTTTGAAATAGAGCATCTGAAAATTCAAACACAAAAGCCACACACACACACACACACACACACACACACCCACTGGCAATGTCACATGAGACTGTTTCATTATGTTGCTCTTTGTTGCAATTCAACGAGTACAGGTAACTTCAACCACCCCTTTCCCCATAACATCCAGTTTTGGATTTACACTGTCCTCCATTATCAGCAAGATTAACGCAACACATAATATGCTGCTACGCTAATCAAAGCAATCCATACCCGATACATAAACTCCAGTCAGTTCATTCCAAATTAACCAAGTATATTATTACCGAGAAACATATTAGTGTATCACAATTTCATCAGTAAATAACTCACAATACGTCCACACACAAATCTGTCAATTACATTCCAATTTAATAGCCACAAATTACATTGATTCTCCCTAGCAAAACCTTAAACAGATAACAACTATGGAATCATAAATACATGTAGCCACGCATACATATATATACTGGCTGGAATGTTGATACCACTGCCAAGAGACAGAAGGAAAATATGAAGAGAAGTTAATCACTTGGGTGGGTGGGCATCTGCCTTTTTATCACGTGTGAGCAATCTTTCCACAAAGAAACTCAACATTGTACAAATAATTAACTAAATTAAATAAGCTAAATGAACTGGGGTCATATCAAGTATATATACATGTGTGTATGCCTGTGTAAGTTGGTGGTTGAGTACCATTCACTCACATTGGTATTGACCTAATTGATAATCTTCAATCTGATAGCATCAATTATACCAGCATTTATAAAGAACACAGCTTGTCTAGCAAACCTGCATCAACAAATTTGGCATAAATTAAAAAGTTTCATAATGGAATTCGTGATGCACATGATTTGCAAGTGATTGTGTATTTATAGCAATTATCCCAACTCAAAAAGGGTTTAGAACATGTAGGAATTCCAAACGGAGCATGAAAAATTAAAAAACTGTTATATCAAGAAGAAAAATATGATAGTGACAATAACTTATCTTTTACTAATATAATTTTGGTTTGATAGCCTAGCTTCTATTGTGAGAGAAGACAGCCTAAATATTTTAGAAAAATTATAGAAATTAAGCAAATACTGGTGTAGTTGGCATCTAAATTTGTGATGAATTGAAGAAACCAATTAAGGGACAAATATACAAATACATACATACACAGATAGATCCATAGAAAACACGCACACACACAAATCCGGAAAAAAGAACTGCTATTGTCAGAAGTAACCCACAAAAAAGAGCGAGAAAAAATAAAATAAAATAAAATAAAAAACAGATGAAAACCACTAGTGATGCTACTACTACTACAAGGGAAGCCAAAACAACCATTGAAGCAAAAACTGGTTCTGTATTGAAAATTATCACTTACAAGGAACGAACGCTTCGGCCAAAATGCTAACAATAACAGCATATGAAAACAAATCAATAACAGATATGTAAACCCCAAGAGTTCTTGTCATCAGAACTCACCAGAACAATAATTGATGTGTATATATGTGTGTGTGTATAGAGAAGAAGTTGAAATTGGTAGGGGAACGCGGAGACGAAGGGAAATTTGGAATTGCAGAGGGAGCTCCACCGTAAGCTTACGGTGAGTCTCAAAGGGGAGGAGAAGACACGTGGAAAGACGTCAGGGGCAATGTGGGAAAGTGACTAATTAAGAGGGTGTTTTGGTAAAAGCAGATGCAGAATTCGTGGGCAAAATGGGTAAGAAAAAAATTTGGACCATTTCTCGATTTGTGCGTGTCATCCTTGCGCAGGGGCCATGCTAATCTTCTCTGTATCGTTCCAATTTTATCGGATGCCCCCTAAGGGACGTACCTTCATTATAATCTCACCGTATATTAATTCTCAAGACTTTGTTTCTTTTATCGATGTGGGACATTTTAGCTGTACGGGTTTGCACAGCCTAGTAAACCCACACTCTACCCTACCTACATAGGCTATAAATTTTTGCAAATCAATTAAATTCCTATCATTACACAGTAACTATTTATCTATCTTAACCTCGTAATTTAAACTTAATACGGAGTATACAATTTTGGATGTCCAGAAGGAAGTGGATGGAAGCTAGAAAAATTACCTAAAAGGGTATGTTCTTCTATATGAAATTAGAGTTTTAAAATTAACATAAGTAAAATTTGAAAAAAAAAAATTGATTCAATTTTTTTTAGATATTTTTTTCAAATTTTATCAATTTCATTGTTTAAGCTTCAATTCCATGTAATCAAACATACTCTTAAAAAAATTGAGATAAGAAAAAGATGTTTAGTTACATGCACTTATATACGATTATAATACATGAATGTATGGATTCAGATCTTCTCTAGTAGAACAATAAAACGATTGAAATTCTTAACCAACTTCCCAACATTTTTATAAGTTATATCACTAATTTGTTGGAACATGAACCAGATGAGTGCATATCTTGTCTAAACTTCGTAAATCACAAATGAATTTAAATATATGTAAAGTTATATTATATAATAAAACTTTATAGAATATATAATGTGATTGTTCTTAAGAGTATAATTAATTACAATTTAAATTAAAGACAATGTGCTTCAAATTTTTTATTTTTTCATTCTTTTTTCCTAGTTGATACTCACACACACTTTTAACTCTTGATCACTTTTTGAGAAGTAAGAGGTTAATACCGCTAAGCCACTTGACCGTTAGTAAAAAAAAAAAAAAAAAAATTGGTTTTCATCCTTAGAAACCTCCTTTATTATCAATTAAAAGAAATTTGCTCTAAAATTGCATGACATTATGGAAGAATGATTATCAGTTAGTTGTAAGAAAAATTATCTTCCGAATCCAATGTGGCATTTTAGATCGACGGATATATCATTTTAAAAGATTATGGGTTGTGTTCGTCTTCTATATTCTATGTTATAAACGCACATAGTAGCTAAGGGTACCGTCATATATAGTTCTCAATATTAAGAATATCCAATTTTCCTATGTAATAATGATAATAAAAAAATTGATCCTGATTAGCATATATAAACACAAGGTAATTATTATATTTTATAAAAAAAATAATAATTAACTACAAATGCTGTAACTTTCCAAAAGTGCTTTATAATGTTTTCATCTCTACAATAGCAATAAATTTCTCTACTGATCTAGTATTCAATAAAAATTTAACAAATATAAGTCAAGAAGGATTCATCAAAAGCATACTATCATGCCCTCTCTTTTTTCCCTCGTTAAGTGATGGCATTAGGTATAAACTGTTGCTCTGTCCATTCCTGTGCAACTCCTTCCGCTGCTCCTTAGCTTGTCACACTGAAAGTCCTTTCCTGAATGAAAATATTGGACTCTCGTCTCTCTTACACTTGCTGTGCATCACCACTACATGCGTACCGGAGGTTCACTGTCACTTTATCAACAATAGCCTCTTTCAACAATTCCACTGTTACCTTCCCGAGGTTTTATATACCAAAATTGATTCCTGAACTGATTTAGAGTCCTCCTCAGCAGTCAGCAATGGAACTACACAAAATTAGTAAATTATTATATATATTTATTGAAATTGCAGGCCAACATAAGATATCTCATCATATGATAACTCTCGTTGTACTGTTTCAAATGGAGTCTCATTGCTAATTTACTCAAACATCCAAATTATGCTTGTGTATTCGGCCAGAAGCATAACATGCCTAGCAGACCAATCATGATTTTGCGGTAGAAGGAACAGCAACATAACAAGGTGAGCAAATTTCAGCGCTATCACAAGCACCTCAAAAGTCTCTATGACATTTGGATTGGGAAATCTAGAGTGCAATGTCCATTAGATCAAATATCTTAATCACACAACTATGTCAACCAATACCATTTGTGCAGTCTGAGCAGGAAAAATGAAAATATATGAGAATTCATAACTACTAGTAGTGCCTGAATGAGGATTCCCAAGCCATAGAGGTTGAAAATAGAGAAACTACTTCATAAATAAATATAATGCATCTTTATACTATTAGGTAAGTGAAGTTGAGAAGGCATAATGCATGGAAACAGAACCGTAAAAATCACCCATCCAACAACTAGTTAAGCTTTCCGAGCTTGAGCGAATAGGATCACCATCCATACAAATTTAGAGACAGTTGACTGAAAAATATCATTTATTTTTTATTTTAGAAGGATGCAATGGTCATTATGCATATTAAGAACTCCTTATGCTAGGAGTCTTGTTAATTCCCAGCTCCCTATCGAGGGTTCTGTTCTCTCTTCTCAAGCTTCTGTCCATGAAACCCTCTCTCTTCCTTGAGGACATCCTGCCCCATAAACCCCTGATGGTTATACAACAGCATAAACTCCAGTTCCTTAAATGTCAGACCAGGCCAGAATAATCATACCAATGGCACCAAACTCTATCGTCAAGTTCTCAGCCAGAACTATGTGTTTCAGCTGAAAGCCTAAATTGGCCCAAAATGGAATTGATACACATTAATTCTAACAACCAAGAGCAGGGTTCTCTTGCAGTCCTTGATGCGAAAAGACCACCAACCAAATCTCATTCTTCCCTGAGAAACCCTTTCTAAACATACATCAGCTCCCCACAATAATTGAACCTGAGATGCAAATTATCACCAATCGAATCAATTTAAGGCCTGAAGATTAACTCAGCAAGGCGCACAATAGCTGGTGATTCTGGGATTCTTGGTCTTCCTATGAGCACAAGTACAATTAGAAATGTCCAGTGACACGTATAAAGTAATGGTCTCTTACTCAGCCTCTTTTGAAAAAAAAAAAAAAAAAAAAAGAAAATGATACAAGTGTTAGGGAAAAAAAAAATTTATTCTGAAGAATTTTAGCAGTTTTTATTATGAATATAAGTTTTTTTTTTCTTTCCTAGTTAAGCATAAGGTAAGTCATTAGAGATGAAAAAAGTTCAAAGAAAACTAAGAGCTTTGAGCTCTCTCGCTTAACCTCATCGCACTCTTCTATATATGCATATGAGACATGGAAGTTTGCAGTTGCTTCCTCCTTCACCGCTCCTCCCTTCTCTCTTCTCCCATCTCCTCCTCTCTTGTGAACGAGATGCTTCAAACATGTGTTGTGCCCGTCTCTCATATTTCCTTGTTCTCAATTTTTTTTTAACATTATATATACTAAAATGAAAGTGTTTTACTGCCCACCACATATTCAAAGACACTTTCAAGAACCAGTTTAAGCGTTGAACCCAAAATATGATCCTCACAATGATTTAAACCACTACAACATAATGGCTTTGATAGGAGATAATATGGATCAATGGACAAATTTAACAATTCATTTGCATGGATTAAATCTTAATAATTTCACGTTACATACACTTCAAGAACATACTCTAGTTTCAGAGTCTCTATCGTTCCTTCTAAAATCCAAGTTCTATTAAATATCAAACTTTTTTTTCACAACAATTATTATACATATATTGTTCATGAAATACAAGCAGGAACTAGAATTATTTATCTGCTACCAATAACATACTCATATTACATTGACATCTTTGTACTTACGAATTGTGATATACCAGTCAATATTGATACTTTCTTCAGTGTTCCATATTTCCAGAAGCAGTCGATGCAGCTATTAGAACAACTACTGAGATGCCATTTTTAAATTTTGAATAACTGTCATAAAAACAATAGTCATAGACTATTCTTCTTATTTTGAAATAGAGCAAACAAAAATTTAACGAAAGAGCCATATTATATGTCTACCCATTGACCATGGCACACTAGAAACTGTTTCATTATGTTGCCGTCCATTGCAAACTTGCAATTCAACTTGTACAGGTAAATTCAACCATCCTTTTCCCCACTTCTAATTTTGGCAATACATAATATGCTACACTAATCCAAGCAATCCATTCCCAATACATGAACTCCAGTCAGTTCATTCCAAATTAACCAAGTACCTTGTTACTAAGAAACATATCAGTGCTATTAAATATCAAAATTAACCAAGCACATTATTAGTAAGTAATGTATCAGTGCATTGCATATCGTCAGTTAATAATTCACAATAATAATAAACATATTATGCATCTACATGGTCCTAACCTACATACTAGTCTGTCAATTACAGCCACAAAGTACATCGATTCTCCCTAAAATGACTTAAACAGATGACAACTACGGAATCATAAACATATGTAGCCCACACACACATATACACTAGCTGGAATACTGTTACCACTCTCAAGACACACAAGGAAAATATGAAGAGAAGTTCATTACTTGGGTGGGCGGTCGATCATCCACCTTTTGATCACATGTTCGGGCGAGCTTCCACCAAGTAACTCAACATTATAAAAATAGATTAACTAAGTGAACTAGGGTCATATCAAGTAGATTTACATGTGTGTGTGCCTGTGTAAGTTGGTGGTTGAGTACCATTCACTCACATTGGCGTTGACCTGATTGATAATCTTCAATCTGATAGCATCAATTATACCAACATTTCACTCACATAAAGAACACGATTGTCAAGCAAACCTGCATCAATAAATTTGGCATAAATTAAAAAAGTGGCATAATGGAATTCGTGATGCACATGATTTGCAAGTGATAGTGTATTTATTTCAATTAACCCGACTCAAATAAGGTTTAGAACACCGTAAGGTAGCCCACGAAAAAAAAAAAAAAACGAAAAGAAAGTTTCTACAGAATTTCAACCAGAGCATGAAATTTTGAGAAGAAAAATATGATGGGGATGCTAACTTATCATTCACTTTTATAATTATGGTTTGATTGCCTAGTTTCTATTGTGAGGAAAGGCATCTTAAATATTTTAGAAAATTCATAGAAATTAAGCAAATACTGGTGTAGTTGGCATTTAAATTTGTGATGAATTGAAGAAACCAATTGAAAAATACACATATATACACAGATAGATACAAAAACACACAAAAATTCACAAATAAAAGGGGAGGGGAAGCAAAAAACCAAATGAATTCAGAAAAAGAACCACTGTAACAAAGAGGAAAAAGAAATCCCAGATGAAAACCACAACTAGTGATGCTACTACTACTACAATAGAAACCAAAACAACCATTGAAGCAAAAACTGGTTGTGTTGAAAACTGAATCTTGCCAGGAAAGAACAAACTCTTTGACCAAAATGCACAGCAACAATATTAGCATAAGAAAACAAATCAAGCACAGATACGGAACTTATATATGCGTCGAAATCATGAAGAGAACCTGGAACAGAGTGAAAAGGGAAGAGACGACTACCCTGTTTTCGAGTTCTTGTCATCAACACTAACCAGAACAATAATTGATGGAATATATGCATATATGTGTGTATATATATATATATATATATAGAGAGAGAGAGAGAGAGAGAGAGAGCGAGAGAGGGGAACGCGGAGGCGAAGGGGAATTTGAAATTGCAGAGGGAGCTCCACCAGAAGCTTACAGTGAGTCTCAAAGGGGGAGGAGAAGACACGAGGGTGTTTTGGTAAAATCAGATGCAAAAGTCGTGGGCAAAATGGGAAAGAAAAAATTTGGACCATTTCTCGATTTTCATCCTTGGCAGGGGCCATGCTAATCTTCTCTGTATACGTTTATTTATTGTGATCTCATCATATATTAACTTTGAAGACTTCGTTTCTTTTATCGATGTGGGACATTTTAGCTTTACGGGAGTCAGTATTTCCACAGCCTACTAAACCTACAACTCTAGCCTACATACATAGGCTATAAATTTTGGCGATCCATTAAATTACTAAATTTTATCTATCCTCGTAATTTGAGCTTAGTATACTACTACAATTTTAGATGTCCAGAGGATCAGTAGGAAGAAAAATCACCCTTCAAAAAAATTGGAGGGAAGAAAAACATACTCATAGTTACGTGGACTGTACATGAGTATGGCATATTAGTCCGTATGGTGTCTAATCTTTGTAAATCACATTATCACATATGAAGTTAGATACGGTATAAATAAACAAACTGGCATTTAAATACATTATATATTCTATAAAGCTTAGTATACAGTGTGATTGTACTTAAAAGTATGCTTAATTAGAATTTAAATTAAAGGTTATGGGGTGGCAAAAAAAAACAGTATTAATCCATCTAAATTTTTGCAGTAAATTTGAGCTTATTCTTCTTCTTTTATTGTAATATCTAAATAATCACATAGTTACATATTTGTTGTACACATGTCATTTCGTGTTGATCTTTGTACATGAGACGAAATAAGAAAGTCTTTCTAACCTAATGAATAATGTCTTTTCACTGATCTTACCTCACATTTGATAAGTTCTTTTTACAAGCTTGTTATAGACTAGCAAAATATGAAATAATATTCCAACACCGATTCAAATCTAGCACAAAATTAACGAATTTGGGTTAACATTGATCGATTTTGCATTGTAACTGGCAAAATATGAAAAAATATTCCAACACAACTCAAATCTAACACAAAGGGCCGGTCTAGACTACAGTTCTTTTGTGCTTTTGGTTTGACTCGAAGCAGAAACAATATTTCTACTTTAGAGTGTGTTCAACACTATTTCGAAACTTATTTGATAACGTAAATTTGTTATAAGATTTTTAAAAGCAAAAACATGAATGCATGTTTGGTAGAAAGTGTTGTAAGTTCGAAAATTTGAATGGCTACTTAAAAATGTTATTTTAGTAAGAATTTTTTTTTTTTTTTTTAACAGTGTTTTGCTACAGTGCAAAAGCAAACAAAAGTATCTTTTTGATGCTTTCGATTTTGGCCTCAATTTTAGAAACGCTTCGGTATCATTCAAATTATAACAAACATTACCAAACATATTTTATACTTTGTGCTTTTGCTTCGCTACAGTACACTAGCAAAAACAAAAAACACGAAGTAAAAGCATTAGCCAAACTGCCCAAAATTAACGAATTTAGGTTAACACTGATAGCTTTTGCGTTATAAACGTGTCAATCATGGTTTTTTTTTTTTTTTAAAAAAAAAAAAAATAGAAGAAGAAGAAGAAGAAGAAGATTAACCTATTAGAATAAACAAATATTCTTGTTCAGTTTTGAGAATTCAACTTATTTAACTTGATTTAGCTTGTTTAATTTAATATGTCAAATCAACAAAGATATCTCCTTAACTTCAAAAATAATCCAATCAGCCTAGGCCAACAATATCTCACATTCGGCTTCTGACCCATTCTGTCCAAGTTTTATGTGGGGGGCATGCCTCAAATACTGTATCACGGTCGAAATAAAATTAAGGCCACAGCTTCACACATTCTGATGATGAGTTCTTGAATTTAAAAAACCATGAGAATCGGCTACTGAAACTCTGAAACAATTCTGTTTGCCTGAAAAATATACCATTAATTTTGATTTTAGAAGGATGTCATGGTCACTATGCATGCTAAAGAACTACTTATGGGAGTAGAAGTCTTGTGAATCCTGAATTCATGCTGGACAAACTGAACATCATAACCAAACTAATATAGACTTAATCATGAATTGAGCCAACAATGTCACACTTGCATAAAAGAGAACAGTGTTATATAATCTAATTTATTTATGCTCTAAACGAAAGAGGAAGATAACAGTTGCTGGATAGAAAAATGCAGCACTGAGTTAGATGCTTGCATCATTATAATTGAACATACAACACTTGCACAATAGACTCTTTCAACAATTTCAAAGTTTCCTTCCCAAGGTTTTATTGTCGAAAATTGATTCCTGGACTGATTTAGATGCCTCGTCAGCTGTCAGCACTGAACTGCACACAATTAGCAAATTGTTCTATATACTGAAATTGCTGACCAACTACTAACCAAGGAAAGGAAAATTTTAAAAATATATGGTGTATTCGCCATAGATAACTCTTGCTATCCTGTTTCAGATGGAGAGTCTCATTCTATTTACACAAACATGCAATGTATGCTTGTGTATTCGGCCAGAAGCATAACATGCCCAGCAAACCAATCATGCAAAAGCATGAGGTAGAAGGAAAAATAACATGACAAGGTGAGCAATTTTCAGCAGTATCATGAGCACCTCAAAAGTCTCTGACATTTGGTTTGGGAAATCTAGGGCGGAATGACCATTAGATCAAATAACTTAATCACACAACCATGTCAACCAATACCATTTGTGCAGTCTGATCAGGAAAACTGAAAATCTATGACAATTCATAACAACTAGTAGTGCCTGAATGAGGATTCCCAAGCCATAGAGGTTGAAAATAGAGAAACTACTTCATAAATAAATATAATGCATATACTTTTAGGTAAGTAGAGTTGAGAAAGCATAATGCATGGAAATATGAACGTAAAAATCATCCATCCAATGATAAAATAGTGGCATAGTTGGACAACTAGTTAAGCTTACTGAGCTTGAGCAAATAGGATCATTATCCATACAAATTGAGAGACAGTTGACCGGAAAATGTCATTATTTTGATTTTAGAAGGATGCAATGGTCATGATGCATATTAGGAACTCCTTATGCTAGGAGTCTTGTTAATCCCCGGCTCCCTACCACAAGGGTTCTGTTCCCTCTTCTCAAGCTTCTGTCCGTGAAACCCCTCTCTTCCATGAGGACATGCTGACCATAAACCCCTGCTGGTTATACAATAAAATAAACTCCAGTTCCTTAAATGAAAGACCAGACCAGAATAATCATACCAATGACACAAAAATCTACCATTGAGTTCTCAGCCAGAACTATGTGTTTCAGCTGAAAGCCTAAAGTGGCCCAAAATGGAATAGATACACATTGGTACTAACAACCAACTGTAGGTCTCTCTTGCAGTCCTTGATGTGAAATACCAAAAACCAAATCTCATTCTTCCCCGAGAAACCCTCTCCAAATATACATCAGCTCCCCACAATAATTGAACCTGTTTCATCAAATATACATCAGCTCCCCACAATAATTGAACCTGAGATGCGGAGTATCACCAATAGAAACAATTTAAGCCCTGAATATAGTTTTTTTTTCCAGTTGGTACTCACACACACTTGTCTCTTCTGATACTTCAAGTCCTAACCTCCCTTGGGAAGTAAGAGGCTGATACCGCTAGGCCACTGGCCCGTTGGTTAAGCCCTGAATATTAACTCAGTAAGGCGCACGATAGCTGGTGATTCTAGGATTTTGCTCTTCCTATGAGCACAAGTACAATTAGAAACATCTGTCTCTTACTCAACCTCTTTTTGAAGTGCATCAAACAGCTCCCTCTTTTCAGAGTTTATATTAGAAACAAAGCTGGATTTTTTTAAATATATATATATATATATTATATTTTAAAAATATTGGATGTCTCAAGGTTTTAATGATGGATTTGTCCTAACATGAATCAATATTGATTCTGAAGAATTTTAGCAGTTTTTATGAAGCATGTAAATTTTTACCATTGGTTTAAATCAGATTGGTCCTTAGAGATGAAAATGTAAAGAAAACTAGGAGTTTTGATCTCTCTTTCCCCTCTCGCTTAACCTCATCGCTCTCTTCTATACATATACGAATGAGACATGGAAGTTTGCAAGTGCTTCCCCCTTCACCCCTCTTCTCTCTTCTCACATCTCCTCCTCTCTGGAAAACGAGATGCTTCAAAGACACGTTGTGCCCACCTCTCATATTTCCTTCTTCTCACTCTTTTTAGCATTATACTAAAATGAAAGTGTTTTATTGCCCACCACATATTCAAACTTCAAAGACATTATCAAGAACCAGTTTAAGCTTTGAACCCCTAATATGATCCTCACCATAACTAAACCAAAATAACATCATGGCTTTGATAGGAGATAATATTGATCAATTGATAATTTAACAAATAAATTCATTTGCATGGATTTAGTCCTAACAATCTCACTTTACATACATTTCAAGCACATATTTTTGCATCTTATTCTTGGGTAACCACGCATCTTTATAACAAATTTACAATATTATCACTCTCAACTTACTCATCATAATCTAGTTTCACTGTCTCTAATAGATACATAATATGCTGTAGCGGCTGCTACACCAATCGAAGCAATCCATTCCTGATACATGAACTCCAGTCAGTTCATTCCAAATTAACTCAGTACATTTTTAATAAGAAATATATCATTGCATTGGATATCCAAATTAACCAAGAACATTATTACTAAGAAATATATCAGTCCATTGCATATCGTCAGTAAAAAATTCACAATAATATAAACAGATTATGCATCCACACACAAGTCTGTCAGTTACATTCCAATTCAATAGCCACAAAGCACATCAATTCTCACTAGAATTACTTAACCAGATAACAACTATGGAATCATAAATAGATGTAGCCACACACACATATACACCGGCCGGAATATTGTTACCACTCCCAAGGAACACAAGGAAAATATGAAGAGAAGTTTGATCACTTGGGTGGGTGGTCGATAGTCAACTAAATTAAATTAAATAAATGAACTAGGGTCATATCAAGTATATATACATGTGTGTGTGCCTGTGGAAGTTGGTAGTTGAGTACCATTCACTCACATTGGCAATTGGCCTGATTAATAACCTTCAATCTGATAGCATCATATATATCAACATTTATAAAGAACACGCTTGTCTAGCAAACCTGCATCAACAAAATTGGCATTAATTTAAATTTTGTCATAAGGGAATTCGTGATGCACATAATTTGCAAGTGATTGTGTATTTATAGCAATTATCCCGACTCAAATAAGGTTTAGAACACCAAAATGTAGCTCACAAAAAAGAAAAGAAAAGAAAGTTTATACAGAATTTCAAACCGATCATGAAAAATTGAGGAACTGTTGTTGTATCATGAAGAAAAATATGATATTGACACTAACTTGTCTTTTACTAATATAATTATGGTTTGATAGCCTAGCTTCTATTGTGAGGAAATATAACCTAAATATTTTAGAAAATTTATACTAGAAATTAAGCAAAAACTGGTATAGTTGGCATCTAAATTTGTGATGAATTGAAGAGACAAATTAAGGGACATATATACACATACATACACATATAGATACATAGAAAACACCACACAAAAAAAATCACAACAAATAAATGAGTTCCGAAAAAAGAATTGCTATCTATTGTCAGAAGGAACCCACACACAAAAACCAGATGAAAATCACAACTAGTGATGCTACTACTACTACTACAAGAGAAGCCAAAACTAGTTGTGTGTTGAAAATTATTTAACTTACAAGGAACGAACCCTTTGGGCAAAATGCTAACAATAACACCATAAGAAAACAAATCAATCACAGATATGTAAACCCCAAGACTTCTTGTCATCAGCTTTGTGTCTGTATATATATATAGAGAGAGAGGAGTTACTGAAATTGGTAGGGGAACGCGGAGACGAAGGAAGAGGAATTACAGAGGGAGGAGCTCCACTATAAGCTTACGGTGAGTCTCAAAGGGGGAGGAGAAGACACGTCGAAAGATGTCAGGGGTAGTGTGGGAAAGTGACGATTTACGTGGGTGTTTTGGTAAAATCAGATACAGAAGTCGTGGGCAAAATGGGTAAGAAAAAAATTTGGACCATTTCTCGATTTGTGCGTGTCATCCTTGCGCAGGGGCCATGCTAATCTTCTCTGTATCGTTCCAATTTTATCGGATGTCCCCGAAGGGACATGCCTTAGTCCTGATCTCACCATATATTAACCACAAAGACTTTGTTCTTTTCGTCGATGTGGGACTTATTGGCTGTACGGGCGTCAGTCATGATTACACAGCCTAGTAAACCTACGACTCTACCCTACATACATAGCCTGTAAACTTCTGCAATCCATTAAATTATTATCATTATAAATTGATCTATCTTAACCTCGTAAATTTAGCTTGGTATACAATTTTGGAAGTCCAGAAGGAAGCGGAAAAAAGAAGAAAAATACCCTTAAAAAAATTGGAGGGAAGAAAAACATGCTCACAGTTATATGGACTTGTGCATGGAAATGGCATATAAGTCTGCATCGTGTCTAATCTTGGTAAATCACTTTATTACATATTAAATTAAATACAAATAAACCAACGGGCATTTAAATACATTATATATTCTATGAAGCTTAATATATAATGTGATTGTTCTTAAAAAGTATGCTTAATTAGAATTTAAATTAAAGGTAATGCGGTGGGAAAATAAAAGGTTTTTTTTCATCAAAACCTTCTCTACTAGTAAATTTGAACTTATTCTTCTTCTTTTATCATAATATTTAAAGAGTCACAAAGTCCAATTTAGATGGTTGAACACATAATTTCATATTTGATGTACATGTCATTTGATGTTGACCTTTACACATGAGGCAAAATAAAAGAATTCTAATGTAATAAATATTGTCAATCTTGCTTCACATTTCATAAATTCTTTTTAGAAGCTTACAATATAATGACAAAATATAAACGACCCACAAGTTCTTTTTAGAAACTTATAATAGAATAATAAAATATGAACTTATTCTTCTTCTTTTATCGTAATATCTAAAGAGTCACAAAGTCCAATTTAAATGGTTGAACACATAATTTCATAATTGATGTACATGTCATTTGATGCTGACCTTTACGCATGAGGCAAAATAAGAGAATTCAATAGAATAACAAAATATAAACGATCCATAAGTTCTTTTTAGAAACTTACAATAGAATAACAAAATATAAAACGATCTTTTAACACATAATTAACGAATTTGGAATTAACAATGATTACTTTTGCTTTGTAATTGTGTGAATCAGATTAACATGTTTCAGAAAACAAGTAAACTAGTTCAGTTTTGAAAACTCAACTTATTTAACTTGGTTTGGCTTGTTTAATTAAATATGTCAAATTAGAAAATAAAAATAAAAATTAAATATGTCAAATCAACAAAAAAATATATATTCTTAATTATATTTAAAAATAATCCAATCGACCTAGGTCAAATGCAGAATAGTGAGACTCCGGATGGTGAGGGCCACACCAACAATATCACACATTCGGTCTGACCCATTCCGGATCATATTCAAAACAAAATTCAGGTCAGACATTCTGCTGATGTCCTTTTGGGACACTCGTGTGGTTTTAAAAACCATGAGAGTCAGTTACTGAAATTCTGAAACAATTCTCTTGGAAAAAAGGATTATGTGATGTTTCTCTCTGTGATGTTTATAAAGCTCGAGGTAGTCCTGTCATATTTAGGTCTCAATATTAAGAATATCCACTTTGCCTATCTTATAATTGAACATAAAAAAATTGATTCAGGTTAGCATGCTATAAACACAATGTAATAAAAATAAATTAACTACAAATACTAAAACTTCCCAGAAGTACTTTGTAATGCTTTCACTACTACAATAGCAATAAATTTCCCAAGTGATCTTATATTCAATAATAATTTAACAAAATACAAGTTAAGATCGACTCATTAAAAGCATACAATCACGTCCTAACTTTTCCCTCGTCTCTCTTACAGTGGCTGTGCATCACTGTCACTTAAATTCAATGTTTCATTCCCAAGGTTTTACTGTCCAAACTTGATTCCTGAACTCATTTTAGAGGCCTCCTCAACAGTCAAGAATGGAACTGCACAAAATTGGCAAATTATTATTATATATTATAACAATCATACAAAAGTTTGCAGTAGAAGGAAAAATGACAAGCACCTCAAAAGTCTATGGGACATTTGTGAAGTCTAATCAGTAAAAATGAGAATCTAGTGTGCAATGTCCATTAGATCAAATACACAACCAATACAATTTGTGAAGTCTAATCAGGAAAAATGAAAATCTATGATAATTCATAACTAGTAGTGCCTGAGTGAGGCTTCCCAGGTCATAGAGATTGAAAAAAGAGAAACTATTTCATAAATAAATATAGACTATATAATACTTATCAAATATATATATATATATAGACTATATAATGCACACTTTTAGGTATTGATCGAGCAGAAGGCAAGGAGACAGAAACGTAAAAATCACCCATCCAACAACAAAATAGTGGCATAGTTGGACAACTAGTTAAGGTTTACAGAGATTAAGCAAATAGGATCAAAATCCATACAAATTTAGAGACAGTTCACAGTTGCCTGAAAAATATCATTAATTTTGATTTTAGAAGGATGCCATGGTCACTATGCATGCTAAAGAACTACTAATGCTAGGACTAGGAGTCTTGTGAATCCTCTGCTCCCTACCCGGGGTTCCATTCCCTCCTTCAAAATTTACATTCAGTTACTGCAGGATGCTTTTAGTGGTCTGCCCAACTCTGTCCAAGCTTTTCGTGAGGGCTACGCCCAAAATATTGAAACCGGATTGTGTATATTGATACACCCAAAATATTTAAACTGGAGAAACAAAATTTGGACCACGACTTCACACATTGTGCTTATGGCCTTTTGGGAGACTGGTGTGGATGAGGAGTTTTTGAATTTTTAACACCATAAGACTGTAAGGGTCATTCATTTACTGCAGGATGTTCGAAGACCATACTTTTAGGGGCCAATTTGTATAGAGGAGAAAGATTTTGAAAGATTTTTTCTATCTTTTTCTATATAATTCTAGTGACAAAGATAAGAATTAAAAACCCCAATATGATCCTCACCATGACTAAACCACTATAACATAATGGCTTTGATAGGAGATAATATTGATCAATGGACAATTTTAACAAACAATTCATATGCATTAATTAAATATAAATAATCTCACGTTACGTATACTTTAAGCACATCCTTTTTGCATCCTATAAACTGAATCTTATTCTCGGGTAACCATGCATTTTTATAACAAATTTACAATATTATGACTCTCAACTTAATCACTCAAATCTAGTTCCACTGTCTATAATGTTCCTTCTAAAATTCAAGTTCTATTAAATATCCAACCTTTTTTTCACGACAATTGTGATATTCAATAACTTTGTCACGTATTCATATCTCCTTTGACATCTTTCTACTTAGGAAATCATTAGGGCAGTCAATATTGAGAATTTCTTCAACGTTCCATATTTCCACAAGCAGTCAATCGATGCAGCAATTAGTAGAACTACAACTACTGAGATGCCACTTTTCAATTTTAGATAACTTACATACAAACCAAAGTCATGAACCATTCTTCTAATTTTTAAATAGAGCAACCGAAAATTCAAACACGAACCATATTATACATTTACTCGCTGGCCACATCATATCAAAACTGTTTATTGTGTTTTTTTTTTTGTTGCAATTCAACTAGTACAGGCCACTTCAACCATCCTATTGTACTTTTGTATTCTTTTAATGAAACTATCCATTCAAGGGGCAGGGAAAAAAAACTTCAACCATCCTTTTCCCCACAACTTCCACTTTAGGATTCACACTGTCCTCCATTATCAGCAAGATTAATGCAACACATAATATGCTGCTCCACTAATCCTAGCAATCCATTCCTAATACATAAACATCAGTGAATTCCTTCCAAATTAACCAAGTACATTATTACTAAGAGACATATTGGTCTATCACATATCATCAGTAAATAACTCACAATAATAATAACAGATTATGCATCCACACACAAATCCAATTTAACAGCCACAAAATACATCGATTCTCCCTAGAATTTTACTTAAACATATAAGAGCTATGGAATCATAAATACATGTAACCACACACACATATATAATGGCTGGAATAAGTTGATCACTTGGGTGGGTGGTCGTCCACCTTTTGATCACATGTGCAAGCTTCCACCAAAAAACTCAACATTATACAAATTATTAACTAAGTTAACTAGGGTCATAGTAAGTATATATTCATGTGTGCGCCCCTGTGTAAGTTGATGGTTGAGTAACATTGACTAACAATTGGCATTGACCAGATTGATAATCTGATAGCATCAAATGTACCAACATTTATCGAGGACTCTAAAACATCTTATTGTCATTATGGTGTTCCCTTTTTAAATCAAGTAACACACTAGTCTAGCTAACCTGCATCAACAAATTTAATATAACTTAAAAATTGTCAATATGGAATTCGTGATGCAAATGATTTTCAGGCCTAGCAGCTAACTCTGACAAAAGCAAAATTTTCTTCTCCAGTGTCACTGAAGCTGCACAGGAATGTATCATGAACATCATGCAATTTCAAAGAGAAGACCTTCCATTCACCTATTTGGTATCCCTCTTATCTCATCTATGCTCAGTTCCACTCATTGTACTAGCCTTGTGAATAAGATCTCTGGTAGAATCACTCACTCGTCAAGTAAAGCCCTATCCTATGCTGGTAGACTCCAACTTTGTAAATCTGTGCTCTGCAGCATCCAACTCCACTGGATGAACATCTTCATTCTCCCCAAGATGACCATCAACCTCATCAATTCCATCATTAGAAAGTTTCTTTGGTCAGTTTCCAGTCCAATTAAAAGGAACTCCAAGGTGGCATGGATTCAGGTATCTCTTCCTAAGGCAAGTGGTGGACTTGGTCTCCCATTCTCTCTTAATTGAACAGAGCTGCAATGCTCTACTATATATGGCATCTCTTCAAGGTTCCAGGCAGCATATGGTCCAAATGGATACACTCCAACATTATCAAGCAAAAGAATTTATGGGATGTCAACATCCCCTCTCACTGCTCTTGGTCAACCAGAAAGATCATGTAGCCTAGCAAGAC